GGGAAGAGTTTGAAAGAGAGACAAAGTCCAATCAGTCCATCTGTTGCTTTAATTATAAATGACTTTTTGTCTTTTTTTACTGTAATGTGCACCCAACTTCTTCACCACCCGAAGAACCATGGCATGCATAGCAACTTGTGAGCTCGTGAGAGGGCAGCAGCCAAGCCCGAACCAAGCATTGGCGACTACCTATGCTCTACATCTCTATTTCATCTTCTTAAGGAAGAAGATGATAAATAGTGTTTTATTTTGGCACATTTTTAAAGTTCAAATACTGAATTATCGCATTTTAAAGTTCAGGGACCAAAGTGGCACTAAACCTAAAGTATATGATACTAATCATGAATTTTCCCTTATTTTAAGCTTCTACTTCATTGATAATGTCTAAAATTTCTGCTCTATACCTCCAAGTAGGCCCCTATCAGACGGTCTTTTGTAAATCATATATTTTTCTTATGTTAAATTTTCATATGGCTGCCTAATTTTCAAATGAAAAAATAATCATAATACACTTGATGCCATCTAATCTTTTTTTCTAACTAGTAAAAGTGTACGCACGTTGCACGTGGCCATATCAAATGATGATGATGATAATAGCTAGTCAGCAACCAAATGATCTTACTGGTTGAACCATTAACCTATTTAACCAGGAAAATGAACTCTAATTAAGACATTAATTCTCTTTGTATTTTAGACATTTCTATATTTACTAACAATAATTCTTATTTTTCAAACATATTTTTGTTTAATATGAAGAATATATAATATTAATGCATGTTAGAATTTTTCTATAAAATTTATAAAAAAAATTCTATATTTTTATTTTTATTATTTACTTTATGAGATAATAAAAATTACTTATTTATCAAAGAGGTAATGCAATTCCAATATATTGTTTGAACATTGGTTTTTAATATTGTGGTCAAATTAATTATTTATATATATAGTATATATATTATTTGTATATAATATATATGTTATTTATATTGCATTTTTGTAAACTTTTTATATGATGGAAATAGTTGAAAAAATTTTGTTTTTTATTTCAACTGTTATATTTTTATTTTTCTTTTAATATTTATTACTTTTTTAAAACATTAAATCAGATCATATCAGATTTGAATATCTAACATCTTGATCGGATTCGAATTCAAATCAATATTTATGAGATCTGGTCGAATCTTTGGATCATATCAGATTTGAATATACCCTAGTTCAAATATGATTTGATCTGTTAGCATCCCTACCAAACCACTTGCCTATGATGACCTAGCTAATTAAATTATTGAACCACTTGACATGGTTAGTCGGGTCATGTGTTAGACATTAATGCTCTTTATTTTTTATCCTAATTTTTATCCCATTTTTATCATTAATAAAAATAATTATCATTAATCACACTTTTTTATATGATGAATATATAATATTATAGAATGTACCCAAAATTATAGACAATTTTTTTTACATTTTCTAGAATTTTATGTATTTTATTATTTAATAATAACATCCATTTGACATGGATAAATTAAATCATGTATTCCATTTTTATTTTCATCATCGATAAAAGTAACTCTTATTTTCACATTTATTTTTGTTTAATATGGTAAACATATAACGATAGAAGTGTATCAAAAATGTATGTATGTATGTATGTATGTATTTAATATTCGCTACTTAATTATGACATCATAGATCGATCCATTTAACCCGAAATATTAGATCATTGACCTACCTACCATCTAGATATGGAAATGGTTTCATTTTCAAACTAGTTTTAAATTTTGCGTTTCATTTATATCATTGATGAAATAATTATTATCTATCATACTTATTTTTGTTTATATTATTAGTATATAATATTATAGGTGTGCCCAAAATTGTTTCATATTATTTTTGTAGTATTCTATTTTAAAAAAATTATTTTTAATTATACATCATGAGTTAACCTATTTGACCTGAAAGGTTGAACCACTAACCCACCACCTAGATATGAAGATGGTTTAATTTATCATCGGTTTTAAGTTGTATATTTGATGTCCTTCATTAATAAAATTATGTCTATTTTGTCATAGTTATTTTTTATTATGACAAATATATAATAATAGAAGTGTGTCCATTTTTTCAAAATTTCTTTTTTTATATATTTTTTATATTTCTAAATTTATATTATTTATTTATGACATCATGAAATTATCCACTTGACCCAAATGGTTGAAGTACTTATCCACGACTTAGATGAAAAATATGATTTCATTTCTAGGTTTATTTTAAAAATATAAAATTCCATTCTATTAATAATTATTGCGTATGGATTTATTAGTGGAATTTAATGATGACAAACAAAATTATTTTTTATATTTCTAAATTTATATTATTTATTTATGACATCATGAAATTATCCATTTGACCCAAATGGTTGAACTACTTACCCACCACCTAGACGAAAAATATGATGTCATTTCTATGTTTATTTTAAAAATATAAACTTTTATTCTATTAATAATTATTGTGTATGGGTTTATTAGTGGAATTTAATAATGATAAACAAAAGTATAAATGTTGGATTCAATGAGAGAGAATGTGATTTATTCAATGATTTAAATGTGAGACTTAATGAGAGGTAATTGAATGTACTTAATGATATTCTTTTAATTACATTTTATGTCATTTTAATGGAGATAAACTAAATTCAAGAGAAGGGATATTTCAGTAAAGAAAATTTCCAAAAGCTAATACCTCCTCATTCGCACTTTTATAAGTAGTATAGATATAAATAGATATAGATATAGATAGATACATATAACAAAAAAGTATCCCCTAAAAAGAATCCCCACATATTAACTATCCCTTCTCTTCCTCTACCCCAAATTTGAAAAAAAAAAAAAATGTTATACATGGGTCCTGGTTTTGCCGGTTAATCGGATGGTTAATCCATTCATCCTGTAAAAACCTGTGAAAACCATCATTTAACAGGAACCTAGAAAGGTCACCAGTTCCGGGTTTTCACAGTCCTACTGTCCAGTCTGGGCTGAGTTTTACAACAATGGTTCTACAGCCGATTTCGTTTGGTCTACTTTTGTTGACCTGTTTATTCGATTCAACTCATATATCATAAAAACAATGAAGCAATGAGGCACATTGGTTTGGTTGTCCAAATTAAAATGTTAAACTAAGTATATAGTTGCAGATATCCAAGTGCTGATCATGACCGTCCATTTAATTCACCAACACGATCTCATGCTTAACAATTTGTAACTATAGTGGACTCTTCATTTGTAGAGCAGTGACATTTTTATTCATTTGTAGAATCACCACTATTTAAGGGATTTTGGATATATTAAAATACGTCTGAACAATAGCTACGTGTGATGGATAGGGTAGTGAATGAAATTGTTCGGGTGATGGTTGAGCTGGTCAAGCATGTCACGTGGCAACTTCCTTGGCCATTCTTCTCTCAAGCCACGTTGACACCACGCATGATTAAGAAGGAATATCTTGCACGGACAAGGAAGTGGACTCCACCGAGGAAGAGGAAACCTCCCGAAGATCTCGGCAGACGCTCTCATCTCAATAACCCTGAAAGTCCTATCCATCTGGGAAACAAATGCCCAACTATAAATAGGTATTCCCCAGTCGAGGTAAGGGACTTTTGGAATAACTCTTTGAATATCTTTCTACACTATCACTTCGGCCCAGACCACCACTATTTCAACATGCTCGACCCGATCATCTCTTTCTTTACCTAACTAACTTGAGCGTCGGAGTACCTACTCAGGGAACAACTCTTCAGGCCTCCAACATTTTCTCTTAATTGCAGATCTCAGTGCACGGCTTCATCCTTCCACCTCGACCTCGTCTAATTGGCAAGATTATCAAATTGTGTCCTTGGTTCGGAACAACTCAAATCGAACAACATCAGAAATATCTCTTACTGAAAGACATGGACAGTTTTTGACTATCAATATGGTGAGGGGAGATTTTAGATAATTTCCCAGAATAAAAAAAAAAAAAAAAGTGCAAACGTGCATTTTCACATAAACTGAAGACAGGTGCATATAAAATGAGAATGTGCTTATTACTAATACATCTGGACTCAAATTTATTACAACAATGATTTCAAATTTGTTACAACAATGACAAATAGGGTATCATTTTCCCTTTCTAGCCTTAGGCCACGTTTGGAAGTGCTTAAGTTAAAAATAAGTGCTTATTCAAATACGCACTTATTTGCATTTGGCACCCAACTTTTTCAAGTGCTTATTTTTTAAAATAAGCACTTATTTTATATTTTGTAGTCTTTTTCTCTAATAAGCACCTAAATAAGCATTTATGACTATTTTGTTCTTTATTTTCTTTTAAATTTTCAAAATATATCCTTTGAAAGCACTTTTATAAAAGCATTTTTACAAAAGTACTTTTATGAAATCACTTTTACAAAAGCACTTTTAAGAAAGTACTTTACAAAAGTACTTTTATGAAAGCACTTTACAAAAGTACTTTTAATAAAGTACTTTTACAAAAGCACTTTTACAAAAGCACTTTTACAAAATGAGTGTTCATAAAAGTGCTTTCGTAAAAGTGCTTTTATAAAAATGCTTTCACAAAAGTGCTTTCATAAAAATACTTTTATAAAAGTACCTTTATAAAAGTGCTTTTGTAAAAGTTTTTTCAAAGTACTTTTATAAAAGTGCTTTTGTAAAAGTGCTTTCGTAAAAGTACTTTTATAAATTTCAACTAAGGATAATTTTATAAGTGGTATTTTAAAATTCAACTAGTGGCAATTTTGGAAGAAAAAAATTGAATAAGTGCTTATTGTATAAGCACTTAAAAAAAGCTAGAAATTTGGGCTTAAAAAATAAGCCCTTATTTTTAAAATAAGCACTTATTTCGGGTTTTTTCCCAAACACCAATATGTACTTAATGGCCCAAATAAGCACGTATTTTTAAGCACTCCCAAACATGGCCTTAATAACAGAGATGCAAAAGAGATCAAACAACTTGTTCAAAGGAACAGCAGAACAATCACATTTGAACATTTGAACATCAATGGTTCTTATATAAGCCTCATGGATTGAAAGGGAGCTTTATTATGTTTACAGCATCCGGTATGCACACGTTTATAAACCCAAGCATGTTATAGTCAATACTCTGTAATGCCTTTATCTGTCTCTCTTGAAACTACCACACTTGTTGTCCAGTATTGCTTGGAAGTTGGAACTTAAAACTATACAAGGAAAAATCCAGGAGAAAATCCATCGGAATATGAGATCTAGATCAATCTAGCCAGGCTGCTTGACAAAATATATGGCTTGCAAGACACCCATAGCTCTCCTCCATCAGATTTCTTCATAGCAATTTTATGATCCAAAGCTTATAGCTGCGTATATACAGATATACAAGAAAAGGTCCAATCAAATTAGCATCAGAGAGGTGCTTGCAAAGCTTGAGATAAGGCTCAACATTTCCGGACTGTTGGATCCCTTTTCTTAATCCCCGCAGCACAGCTACCCTGTCCAAATACTCAGGATACAAATTCAAGTAAAGCATTTTTATGATTGTTTCAGAAGCCTCCTCAAAATGGCCACCTTTAATATATCCTCTCAACAGCCATGACAAAGTTCGCTTCCTACTCCATGAGTTTATGGCATCAATCCTTGTAAGTAAACGTCCAACAGAACCAGCTTCTTTTTGGGAAGCACATATGGCTAAGACAATGTCATAAAGCTCTTGGCTTACCTCCTTACCCACAAGCTTCATTTCCCACAAGTGTCTTTCAGCCTCAAGTCCTCTTCCAGCACATACATACATTGTAAGAAGCCTCTCATGGACAAGTGCAATATGTGTGGAGCTTCCTTCTTGAAATACCCAATTAGACAATTGCACTCCGTCCCTCACAAGATCTGACTTATACTCCTCAACAAGTCTTACATTTTCTAAATCGAGTTCAGCAACCAAACCGGCCTTTATGAAACCTTTTAACTTGCGTAAAGCTTTGGATAACTCATTCAACTCTTTATCCACAGCTGTCATTGCTATAAGGTAGCTGTAGATCTCAGGTTTCAATCCACGTTCCCTGAAATCAATAACCAATTTAACTACACCGCGGTAATTTCCATCCACCTAAGAGAGCATAGAGAAAATAATAAAAATACCATTCAACACAAAACCTGAACAACTAAACTACCATAATGCGTTTTCTGAAATAACCAAAGCTTTAAGGCTACAAAGCATGTAGGATCTTAACCTACCACGTGAGTATTCAATGTATCCCTATACTGAATGACATTGCTCCACGGTATTGCAGAATCAAAAGCATTTTCTGCCACATGGAGGCTAATGTGATACATTGCAATAGACTCAGCGAAATGAATGAAGTGTCCATGTAAGACATGTGATGGATTCTGATACTCCATTGATTCTTGAGAGACACTTCTACATAATATTTTATTCTCTCCTTGTTTAATTCACATAGATGAACTGCTAATTTACACACGAGCCATTTTTCCTACAAACATTAAGAACAAAGATAAAATTTTAAACCTCTTTCTTTAAGCATGTAATGTTGGAGTTCAACAAAAATAGGGCAGCCCAGTGCACGTGGCTCCCACCAATGTAGGGTCTGGGGATGGACAGATGTACACGGCCTTACCCCTGCTGCACATATAAAGAGGCTGTTTTCAACATTTGAACCCTGGTCACCCAGGTTGCAATGGAGCAACCCAACCATTGCGCCAAGGCCCACCTTCTTGGAGTTCAACAAAAAAATTGATTAATAGTTTATACTTTTCTAAAGAAATGTCCATGAGTCTGTTCTTTCATCTTGCTGATTCAGACTCCTGGGCAAGTGCAGGGTTCTGATTCCCATGTCAATCTCTGTGCAGCACTGGACATATCCAGACTACCCATTTGATGGATGATCCTCAGGATTGGGTTCCTGTTTCGTAAGACTGCATATCCCACCATACAATGCACTTTTCCCCTTACAAGAAGTATTAACCCTTGATTTAGAATCAGGTAGAAAGAAAAGCCATGTAGGAAGATTATATATAGTAATATGTCCATTTGGACTAATAGCCTGTCAGAATCATGTCTTAGAGGACTTTGAACCTGCTTTCCATACATCATCTCTCTCATACCCCCCCCCCACACACACACACATACAAATGCATACAACTTAACCTGCTTCATTTAAACAGAAGATCTTAACCCCACCTCTCTCCACAGATCTATCTGAAACAAGTTAGACTGCCTTCTCCCACATCAACTGATGCACCATGCCTTCATGTCTTAATGCTTAACAAAGGCATGTGTTCCCTCCTACACCTATGTTCAGCCTGCTTTGCCTACAAAGTTAACTTGGCTTCTCTCATCCACATACTTCTATCCACAGCTAATAAGACTGCATTCCTGCACATCAGCTGATGTACCTATTTTCAGCTAATAAGACTCCCTCCTACACCTATGTTCAGCCTCCTACTCCTCATGCCTTAAGCCTGCAGAGAGCACACATGCCTTGATAAAATGTACACCATGGTGCATGACAGTATGCACCAAATAGTCTGTATTTTAAAGAACAAAGTAAACCTGGTTAAAAATTATAAAAAAAATGAAAAGCTATATTTTCCCAAGTTTTATTACCTGAAACCATGACCAACACTTCTGTTTGCAATATTACATTAAGTATAAAAAACAAAGTTGAACATGTACTTAAGTCTTAACAGATAATAGTAGTTAAAAGGATTGCCATTTCCCACAAATGTGGTCTCCCTACCCTGCAAAGAATCAGTACTTAGTTGTTATTCTTTAGAATGGTAGTTAAGTACTGGATTTTTGTTAAGTTACCTTAAGAAAGTTACTGATAGGCTTGCCCTTCATCCATTAGGAAACAAGACAGATTGCCTCACTACATATTGCTTAAGACAGTGGTCCTCATTGCAACAGACAATCCAGAATTACCCAATGTTGGTCCCAGATATCTTAAGTCTTGGGAGGGGTATACTGGGCATGGTCCTGACCTTTGGCATTTTTTCACACATATTGGCTGCCCTTAGCATTCTCAGATTTGTCAGTCTGAGATTTGACCATTATACAAAGCAATGGCCCCTAGACAGAAATACAGAATCCAGACATACGTATCCATAATGGCACATACTCAATAGCAGGGGCCAATAACAGACGTAAACTACTTTGCTCTTTCTAATAATATAGGAATCAAAATGTGTTTCTCTTTTTCAACTTGATTCCCTTCTAACAAATAACCTATTTGAAAACATAAAATAAACCCCTGAAAACCTTCAAGTCAATGCTAATCCTACAATTATAGAAAATCATCAAAATATTTTCACTCCTAAATCCAAATAATGAAGCAAAAGCAAATTGCAAGAATCCCCATTCTCCAACGAACTCCAAAAAAAATGAACTAATTGGAAGCAAAAAGAAAACAAATTCCAGTTCAAATTCACCACAAGAAGTTTACTCAAGCCATGAAGTAGGGAGCACATATCTCAAGAATGGACTCCTTGAACGAAATTACAGTTATGGGATCAAACAGGCAGACATAGAATGACACATGGGATTTCTTTTTCTTCTCTCCAACACAATCAAAAGAATCATGCAATTTCTAATCGATATATCAAAGAAAAGAGAAAAGTGTTTAAAGAAATTTACCATCATCTTCCACGCAAGATACCCAGTTGGACCTCCTTTCTGACCCTCTCGGTCGTCCACTGCATAGGAGATTCTCCGCCTCAGAACTTCCTTAACGAATAAAACGGCTTCCTCCTTCTTCCCCGCCTCCCAGTACAAAGATATTATTTTCTCTATCATACTAAAAGTCGGCTTCAGCCCGACGCAGTCCATGTCCACAAGAAGGTCAACCACATCTCCAACAACACGTTCACCCTCAATCAAATTCTTAAACCAACCGCACATTATGGAAACCATGAGCTCCATAGTCTCCTTATCGACCCTGTTTTCCTTCAGAAGCCACTCAAACACCTCCAGCGCAAACCAAGAATCCCTGCCCTCTTGGGAAAAGTAAACCAAGACCAATTGCGACTCCCGAGCGGAGAGCCGGTCATCCATATCCTCAAGAACATCGGCAGGTTCTCTTACCATCCGTTCTAATTCCTCAATCGTTTCAAAGAAACCCTCGCTCATTTCATCTGCGTCGTCTCTCGTCACAAACCGATTCAATTCAACTGACCCAAACAACCTAAATTCCTCGATTCTACTCTTAGGAGCGAGAAGGGTAGAAATTCTTCTGTTGCAGACACTAAATGAAACCCCAGAACAACCGGAATTCCAAAAAGAATCACCTGAACTGAAGCGAGGGACCATGAAATGACAACGAGAAAATGAGGATGAATAGTATGAAGGAAAGCTCAATTCCATCAGATAAGGCAATCTATGAGCAAAAATAGCCATTTCTTATCTTCAATTTGAGGATTTCCTGTCTACAGCCAAGAACATACTACAGTCTCAATTGTAAAGCTGAAAGGAATCAAAATAAAATCAAGAAAGGTAGAATAGCGAAAAGACGGCCGGACGGCCGCCCTTGACACTCACACCTCCAGGCAACAGGCCAACACCAGCAGAGAGACTCGAAATAAAGAATGCTTTTGTTGATTTTAGGTAGAAGGGAATAATAAATAAACAGAGACGTGAAGAGAATGAGACACAACAAATCCATTACCATTATCCATTTTCTTTCATATTTATTATTGCACCTCCTCTTTTCCTAAAATTTCTTTCTTTTCCCATCACTTAAATTATTTATTTTCCTAAAATTCCTCCTAAACTATCTCTCCACCTAAAAACTTTTTTTTCTAAAACATTTTTCATCTTGTCTCTTCCCTCCTCCTAAATCTCACCTCTTCAAAGCACTGAATTTGTTGTAAGAAATTGAGCTATAAGGAGTTTTATGCTATTTCTTCTTGGGTTAAGTCAGACTAAATCCAATGCAAGTATTATTTTTAATGCATTTAAGTCATTTAAAATTTATAAAAGGTAATTCAATTTTACTAATAAAATAATAATAATAATATTTTTTTTATTAATTGAAAGTCTAATTAAATTATTAATATTGTAAACAAAATTAATAAAAATTAGTAATCTTATAAAATTAATTTTACTATAAGAAATTTATTAATTTTTTGTTAATTCAAATTCTTTTTAAAATAATAACATTTATAAAGTTTTATAGTAGGCTTATAGCCTAACCTAGCATACGATCACACGATCACACGATCACACCTAATTAAGAATGTCATAAGGCTCGCTTTCTACTTCATTTTTTTCTCAAAAAAAGTCCATACATAATAAAAATATAGCATAGGAGAATAATGATGTCAACCCAATAACCCATAATCCAATTTCCAAATTAAATTAATAGCTCTTGAGTTTTGAAAATATGTCATAAAAATGCAGTTGAAAGACTATGACATGGGTTGGATTGGTATCAGGTTTAACCCTACAGGGTTGGGTGGGTTGGCACAAATTTGACTCAACCCTAACCTGACCCTCCCATGCTTCTACTCAAACTCAACCCAACCTGATTCAATACTATGCAATTTTTGAACCTGCCCCCACCTATAGGGTTTAACTTGATACCGACCCAACCCCGTCTCGTAGTCTCTCAATTGTATTTTTTTAAATACTTTTGAAAGCTCAAGAGTCACGCATTAATTTAAGTTGGAAATTAATTGGTTTATGGGTTCCAAGATCATTTCTCTAAAGCAAAAGAAAAAAAAAAAAAAAAACACAAAAACAAAAACAAGCATTGGAATAAATCATATATATTTAAGTTAGGGGATTGATGTCAAACCAAATTACAAGAATACCCTTTATATGTGTAGGGGTATTATGACCTGATATGCACGGGTTAGTCACACCTAAACCCGGTTTGGGTTAAATAATCAAAACTCTAACATATCATTTGGATTAAAACAAATATTGAAGGAAATCATAAACTTTAATATTGAGGATTAGAAGTCAGACCAAATTACACGGATACCTTTTATATGTTTAGGGGTATTATGACTCGATGGGCCAGGTCAGCCAAACTTGCACCTGATTTGGGTTAAATAATCAAAACTTTACACCCCAATGCGCCTGATCCTGTGACCATGTAGGGGTGAGTCAAATCGAATTTACCATTTAACTTGACCAGTTGACATCCCTTATACGAGATTAGCCACTCTCACTAGGGGTTTAATTTAGATTGTGCTCAGAACAATTAAATATAACTCAAAAGTATAATACTTGAGTTGGTTTGATAGACTTCGCTCAATTAGAAATGTCATAAAGCACTTTCTACTTCAATTCTGCGTAATAAGGCTTATGCATTGCATGGGTCCTGACTAGTTTTTAATAAATTATACAAGCAGACCCCTTCCTTGGTTTGATGTTTAGATATTGAAGAATTTTTTAATTTTATCTGGGGTTAAGAATAATGAAATATCTATTGACTAGAAGAGTCCAAAAATATCAATGAAAATCTCTTTCAACAAAACTTTCTCTCCTCTCCCTCCTCCCTCACCAAATCTGTTGTTTTTTATTTTTTCCTTATTATTATTATTATTATTATTATTATTATTATTATTATTATTATTATTATTATTATTATTATTATTATTATTAACACTCATCCATCTACTCAAACTTCTAATAAAAGGGATTTTGAAGATGTCAAGTTCAAGAGGAAATCAGATTTAGTCCTCACAGGCCCTTGTAGTCGTGCATTGTGAATATCTCCTTTTGAATAAAAACATATATATACGAATATGGACGGTGTGAAAACAGTTTTATGAGGCAAGTTGAAGCAGTTATGATAAACTACAGAAGAGGTGTAAGGAATTTACACCTTTTTTAATCAATTTCTGATATTTTTTTGAAAGGTTCAACTATGATATCAAAAAACTTATTAACCAATCAACTTAAAAGTGGAAACTAATAAGGTAATATTCATCAAAAGTCACCGGTGGATTTGATTGATCAAACCTCTTCCTGTATCATATTTTTGTGGAATCATAAACTCAGAAAATCTGTGATGCCAGAAAGATATGGTACTGAAAGAGCTTTGAACAATCAAATCCCACCCATGAATTTTGATCCAGAAACCTCAATGCATTCTTTGGCAGTGTTTGTAACTGATATAATCGTTTTTGGTCACGTACCATTTTTTGTGATGTATAAATTTTTTGGCTAAGTACCTCGTTGTTTGACCCRGTGGTGACGTGCCTTGGTGATGAGCTACTTGGTGGCGAACTCTCTGGGGGAGAACT